GACCTCCCAGCAGCGCGGGCTCGGCGATCTTGTCCGGCGAAAATTTGAAGTATCCGTAGGCTGGCGCAATTCTACCCACCGTCACGTGCATAGAGGAGCTCGGCCTCACTCCACTTCTCTACGGCGAGCGACGTCAACCGTCGACATCGTCGTGCGAGCTGCCCGCGGCTGCCGTCGACCGCTGCACTCGAGCATGTATTCCGCTGACCCCGTTGTCAGCGGCCCTGATCACTCCACTCGTCCTCCTCGTGCCCTCGTCACGGCCGACTTGGTTACCATCTCCGACCTGCTCGTCGACACCGCCTATGTTGCGTGCCGGTCGGGGAGTGGTGAAAAGACCATCCGCCTCAGTACGGGTCATGGGATGATCACGCGCCCACAGCACGCGGGTTCTAAGAAGCAGAACGTCCACGTTCGCTCTGCCGTACTCGCCAGCTGCGTGGCATACCCAAACATCATCTAACCGCGCCTGCAGGGTATCCTCTACGCCTGCTGCGACTTCCTGGTAGACCATGGCGGTCTAGATGGCTGCCGGTCTACAACGACAGGTAAGTGATACGTCGGCTACTATTCTGAAGGTACTCTGCGGGGTCGTCCACGCTCACCGCACCATGCGGGCGAATGACGCCTAGGAGATTTTCGCAAAGTCAACCTGCGGAACGGCATCACGCGCTTGACGGCGCACGGCTGGCGAAACCGTTGACACGTGTTCTGCCTGGCACCTGCGCAATGTGTCTGGCGACGCGACCGCCTACCTGCACCTACTTAGTAGGTGAGCACATGCGTAGAAGTTCACCTGCCTCTGCAGCGCTGGCAGACTGCGCGCAGTCCAAGCTGACGGCTCTGCTGCAGCGTTGGCAAGCCGCTCTTCTGCTGCGCTGGCAGAGTTCGTCCTGAAGAGTGCTTGCTAGGTGTTGCATGCCATTGTTGCTATATCGACTTGCATGTCTCATTGTACTCTAATGTTCTCTCATTTTCTTAGTGAAACTCTTGCCAAATTGCCCTGTGAACATAACAAGTAGTTCGTGAGAACTCTAGTGCAACGCTACAATCACTCGCACAACCCAGTGCCTTCCTCCGTATTCCACTTCCGTTGTGTTGTGACTCTCCGCATTCCCGCCAAAATCCTCGCCACTGCAGTTGCCAGATGCTTCTACTCCGACGGTCCAGATACTGCCTAAATGTAGGTGACTCTTCGCGGCATTTCGACCTTTCACCTTCGTACTCTTCATTGTGCTCTTCGCTTGTTACTGATAGGAGTGGACAGTGCCTCTTAAATCACTATTGGTAACAATACTGTATCACATCATCCACCCATCACCCATCCCGCTTGCTTAACTCTGAGAGTTAACAGCCGATCAGGATGATTTGGGCGCGACGGTCGCGATAGAGGGAACAACACCGATGCGAGTGTCGCAATATGGTACTAACGAGACACTGTTGGGTTTGTAGTGGCGGAAACAGTCCTGTACATGATATGCGGTGTGATGCAAAGTAAGAAAAAGTGCTTTCCTTACTCTACAAAATAGTTTAAATAGGATATCATGCAAATACTTGCAAAACTTTACACCTGTAATGAAAATGTATTCTCCTTATTCCGAACCCCTGCTTACCATGTACATGACTATTCGCGCCAACATTACCCAACAGTGCACCTTAACCACTCGCGACACTCTCCTCGACTACTGTTCCCGCCACTGTTTACGCAGAGACCCAACCTTACGGCTCGGTTAATAACCCGCGCTCTGGACCCCCGCCTCGAGATTTCCCAACCTCGGCGCTAGGCCCGTAGCGCACCCCAATTTCTTGCGTTACCGTTATCACGCTAGCTTCGCTATATAATATTCGCTCATGTATTGTTTTGCTTCAATAGTGCAATTCTCTCTTGCTGGCTCAATTGCACTCATAACATCTCAATAAGATTCTGCAGAAATATTTGACGAAGTAATCATTTTTGCTCTTCTATTAGGGTGTGTCAGATCCTTCGAAACCTGTTTTGGCTAGTAATTTGTCGACCATTTGGTCGTCAATTTCTTTTTGCGAACGTCGACGCATTGGTCGATTTTTTGTCGACAAATTACAGCTGCGTTTGCAAATCTGACACATTTGGTGGCCGTTTTGCTGGCCGCTTATCAAATGTGTCAGATTTGTTGGCCGGATTGCTTCGACAGTGTCGCAGATTTTGCGGCGATACAAAACGCGATGATATTAGTGGCTGGCGTAAATATGTTACGTCGCATGATTACTGCTGCATTGCCAAGTCGACATCTTGGCCGAATTCGAATCGACTACACGTCGGATTGATGTCGACTTTTTGAAACGGCCATCAAAATTACGAAAAGTGGCCGGATTATGCGAGCTCGTCGAAAACGTTTGGACTTTCGCAACCGTGTTACTTTCGCCAAAACCGGCCAGTCGGATTAGGCCGACTTCGGATCTGACACATCCTTACCACTTCCCTTCGTGTTAGTCACAGATACTTCGCGCTCTCCCGCGTACTCGTCAACGGAGTCAACAACCGCTGCAGCAACAGTTTGGGACGACGTTATCAACCCAAGCCTCGCTGGCAAGTTCACTCCGCGGAAATCTGGGCGGTGGTACCTGGTTACATTGCCACAACTACGAGATTGGCGAATCCCTGAGCAAAGGAGAGTCGGGCAGCGCAAGGGCTGTTGTTGGGGGCCTGGGGCATTGTTGTCTGCTCCCTAGAAATCCAAACCACCTGAAGGGGGAAGCGCGGGCCAAAGGCGGAAACAGCACTCGGATCCTCTGCTCTCTCCCGGATTCTGAATTTTTGGCGAAACTCCGTTTTTCCCGTGGCGACACGGATTGTACTCGGATTGGGCGCAAAAAGGGTCTAGACCTTCCAAAATCCAAACCACCTGATGGCGCAACGAAATGGGCGCAAGAGTGGTTACACTACCGGTTTAGATTATCGACGGTCGCACGACAGCGACGTCGCAACCACTGTTCTACAGTTGTTTGTGTATAAACTTTGTTTTTGACACTTTGAAGCAATTGTGTAAAGTTGAAAGTAAAAATGGCTAAGTCAAAATTCTGTATGGTTTGGCTCATAACTCCATATTTAGTGGATCATTTTCGCCCAAATCTAGATTTCCAGCATCTCCTTGATGTCCTCTACCAGCGGATGTGGGTTTGTTTTTTTGGTAGAATTCATTCATTTGTTCACTTTTGGGTCAACTAAGGTTGTTCCTACCATTTGCAAAGTCATTCTCTGGGCAGCACACACATGTGTCATGTGGTGTCTTTTTTTTTTTTTGTTTGTTTGTGTTATGACACCTGTTCCAGCCACCCAGAACAATATCAGGCCAATGCAAACAGATTTGGTGTACTTTTCTTGCAAGAAAGCTAGTGATGAGTTGCCTGGACTGAGGTATCCAGGTGAAATGACCCACTTCTCCTGGGGCAAATGAGCACATTTTGATAGGGCACACTCATCACACCTAGTACAGTTCTCCCTCTCAAATTCACTTCATTTCCTTGAGGTTTGATATGTTTTTCATGCTTTTCTCTGCAGGCTGGTGCGGACTATCGTGCAGAATTGCCTGGACTCAGGTTTCAAGTGAAATGCCCCACTTCTCCTTGGCCAAACGAGGTGATTTTCATAGGGCACTCTCAACACACCTACTCCAGACCCCCCTATCATTTTCGGATTTTTCCATGTAGGTTTGGTGGTGTTTTCATGCTTTCTTTTGCAGACGGGTGCAGAATTTTGTGCAGGAGTGCCAGGAATCATGTTTCAGGTGAAATGACCCAATTATCCTTGGGCAAATGAGCCCATTTTTATAGGGAACTCTCATCACACCTATTCCAGACCCCCCTCCAAAATTCACATCATTTCCTTGAGGTTTGATATGTTTTTCATGCTCTTCTCTGCAGGCTGACTGGTGCAGATTTCTATGTGGAACAGCCTGGAATCAGGTTTCAAGTGTAATGACCCCCTTCTCCTTAGGCAAATGAGCCCATTTTGATAGGGAACTCTCATCACAACTATACCAGATCCCCCTCTTAAATTCATCTCATTTCCTTGAGGTTTGATATGTCTTTCATGCTCTTCTCTGCAGTCTGCTCCAGACGATTTTGTGCAGAATTCCCTGGAATGAGGTATTTAGTGAAATGCCCCACTTCTCCTTGGCCAAACGAGGTGATTTTCATAGAGAACTCTCCACACACCTATTCCAGACCCCCCTATCAATTTCAGATTTTTCGATGAAGGTTTGGTTGTGTTTTCATGCTTTCTTCTGCAGACGGGTGCAGAATTTTGTGCAGGAGTGCCAGGAATCATGTTTCAGGTGAAATGACCCAATTCTCCTTGGGCAAATGAGCCCATTTTATAGGGAATTCTCATCACACCTATTCCAGATCCCCCTCCAAAATTCACATCATTTCCTTGAGGTTTGATATGTTTTTCATGCTCTTCTCTGCAGGCTGACTGGTGCAGATTTCTATGTGGAACTGCCTGGAATCAGGTTTCAAGTGTAATGACCCCCTTCTCCTTAGGCAAATGAGCCCATTTTGATAGGGCACTCTCATCACACCTATATCAGATCCCCCACTTAAATTCACCTCATTTCCTTGAGGTTTGATATGTCTTTCATGCTCTTCTCTGCAGTCTGCTCCAGACGATTTTGTGCAGAATTGCCTGGACTCAGGTTTCAAGTGAAATGCCCCACTTCTCCTTGGCCAAACGATGTGATTTTCATAGGGCAGTCTCCACACGCCTATTCCAGACCCCCTTATCAATTTCAGATTTTGCCAAAGCGGCTGAAGAGGCCCGGAGAGAGGACGTCGACGACCCAGAGTATTCGGGAGAGGCGCGCGGGAAGGCGCAGAGCAACGCGGGTGGAAAGGCTCATAAGGAAGCGGGGGCAGCGCCGCAGATGATGTCGGATGCAGAGGCACTGCAAATGGTGGAGGCAGTGTCGCAGAAGGAATCAGAGGCAGCGGCGCAGCATGAGAATGAGGCAGCAGCGCCGAAAATGGCTGAATCAGAGGCGCAAAAGGAATCAGTGGCAGCGTCGCAGCAGAAGGATGTCGCAGCAGCGGCGAAAATGGCTGAGCCAGAGGCGCAAAAGGAATCAGAGGCAGCGGGGCAGCAGAATGATAAGGCAGCAGCGCCGAAAACGGCTGAGGCAGAGGCGCGGAAGGAATCAGAGGCAGCGTCGCAGCAGAAGGATGTCGCAGCAGCGCCGAAAATGGCTGAGCCAGAGGCGCAGAAGGAATCAGAGGCAGCGGGGCAGCAGAAGGATAAGGCAGCAGCGCCGAAAACGGCTGTGGCAGAGGCGCAGAAGGAATCAGAGGCAGCGTCGCAGCAGAAGGATGTCGCAGCAGCGCCGAAAATGGCTGAACCAGAGGCGCAGAAGGAATCGGAGGCAGCGGGGCAGCAGAAGGATAAGGCAGCAGCGCCGAAAACGGCTGTGGCAGAGGCGCAGAAGGAATCAGAGGCAGCGTCGCAGCAGAAGGATGTCGCAGCAGCGCCGAAAATGGCTGAACCAGAGGCGCTGAAGGAATCGGAGGCAGCGGAGCAGCAGAAAGATAAGGCAGCAGCGCCGAAAACGGCTGAGGCAGAGGCGCAGAAGGAATCAGAGGCAGCGTCGCAGCAGAAGGATAAGGCAGCAGCGCCGAAAATGCCTGAATCAGAGGCGCAGAAGGAATCAGAGGCAGCGACCCGGCACAAGAATGTGGCAGAGGTGCCGAGGACAGTCTCGGAGGCAGAGGCGCTGAAAAAGGCGGCAGCGGATGCGGAGAATCTCATTGAGGCAGACGCGCAAGATAAGGCGGAGGCGGAGGCGCAAAACAGGGCGGGGGCAGCTGTACCCAAGGAGTTTGAGGCAGCTGCGCGGAAGATGGCAGGTAGAAACACACATAAGAAGGCGGATGAAGAGGAGCGGAATAGGGCAGAAGCAGCGGCGCGGCAGAAGGCGGAGGCAGAGGAGCAGAAACAGGCTATAGAAGAGGCGCAAAAACTGGCTCGGGCAGAAGCGCAGAAGAAGGCGGATGAAGAGGCGCGGCAGAATGTGGAGGGTGATGCGCAGACGATGGCAGAGGCCGAGGAGCAGAAGCAGGCTGATGGTGACGCACATAACAAGCCAGATGGAGAGGAGCGGGAAACCACAGCATCAGAACAGCATGACAAGGCAGAGGGACAATCGCTGAAGGGTTCATATGGGCATAAAATGGTACAAGCAGAGGGACAGGATACGGCGGGTGCTGAGGAGCACATCATCGCAGAGGCAGAGGAGCAGCATAAGGAGGAGGCGGTGTCGCAGGCATTCGCATACCGAGAGATGCATAGCATGGCAGAGACAGAGCGTCAAAATACTATGGAGGAGGCTCGTGTGGTCCCGGAGGCTGGAGGGAGGCACCCAGAGGGAGATGCGCTGGAAACAGAAGAGGAGCAGGCTGAGGAGGATACGGTACATCCGGCAGTCCGGATGTTTTTGGGAGGAAGTCCGACGCGGGAAGAAGGAATTGGGGTAGAGGGGGCATGGAGGGTGGCAGATGATGGGGCGCCTAGGGATACAGTGGATCTCACAAGTCAGAGGCGGGCTGACCGAATGCGAAGCCTTCACCAGAGAGCAGAGGACAGCAATCTCGGACAGGAAGGGGTGGCAGAAGCGTGGCAGGAGGTAGAGTGGGGCGAGGCAGAGGCGGCAATACGGCGGATGCTGCAGCGCACGACTACAGTGATGGTTCAAAATGGTGACAGGTTTGTCGAGGGAGAAAGCTGGGACATAAGCCCAGCAGAGGTAACGCGTCGTCTGACGCTCTTAGCCCGAATGGTAACGCAGACGTTCTGCAACTTGGCGGCCCGCAACAGCAGCATCAGTCGTGACGTGGCCGATCTGACAGTCCATTACTGCTGTGACGCCCTGGCCAACCTGGAAGAGGTCCGCCATGGAAACGAGGAACGCAGGCGCCAAGCAGAAACAGCGGCCAGGTTTCGCGAGCAGATGGACACGAGACTCTCCAACTTGCTGGAAAGTATACAAAGGGTGAGTGATCAGGTTCGCAAGTCGGGAGGGGGGATGCCGGAGAGCACATTAAAGGGGGTGGAAGAGAGGTTGAGAGAGGTTCTGAGAGAAGACTCAGAGCGGCGGAAGAGGGATAGACTGCAAGACGAGGAGCGGCGGCAGAAGGCCACAAGGAAGGAAGCAGATGCTGCAGAGAGACGGAAGAAGGAACAACAGCAGGAGGAAGAGCGTCGGCACAAGGAGATGAGAGAGGGAATGAAGGCGATGATGGAGGCGATGAAGAAGGAGATGAAGGCAGAAATGAAGGAGATTACGGATGGGATGGTAAAACAGATGGGGGAGAGGGTGCGCGAACATCTGCGAGAGGAAGCGGAACGGCAGGAGAAGGCGAGGCAGGAGGACGCGGAGCGGTGGAAACAACAGGACGAGAAGAGGAAACAGGCAGACGACGTGGAGAGACAGAGGCAGAAGAAACAGCTGACCGAGGCAGCCCGGAAGGAGGAGGAGGAGAAGAGGATGGAAGCAGAGGCCACAGAGAGGCGGAGGAAGAAGAAACGGCTGGACGAAGACCGCCGGCAGAAGGACATGGAGGCGGGAATGAAGGATATGATGGAGGTTGTAAAGGAGATGAACTCGGGGATGAAAAAGTGGAAGGAGGGGATGCTAAGTGAGGTGGAAAAGCGGTTGTCAGAAGTTCTGAGAGTAGACGCAGAGCGGCGGAAAGCGGAGAAACCTCAGGTGGAGAAACAGCGGCAAAAGGAGGAGCAGATTAGGAAGGCAGCGGAGGGAGAGCGGCCACAGAATGAGGAGGCGCAGAGGAAGGAGGCAGCGGAGGCCGAGGGGCAGGAAAGGGAGAAACAGGAGGAGATGGAGCGCCTGCAGAAGGAGGATGCGCAGAGGAAGGAGGCAGAGGAGGCCGAGCGGCAGGAGACGGAGAAACCGCAGGAGATGGAGCGCCTGCAGAAGGATGCGCAGAGGAAGGAGGGCGAGGAGGTAGAGCGGGATCAGAGAGAGAAACAGCGGGAGATGGAGCGGCTGCAGAAAGTGGAGGCGCTGAGGAGAGAGGCAGAGGAGGCTGAGCAGCAGCAGAGGGAGAAACTGCAAGAGATAGAGCGGCTGCAGAAAGAGGAGTCGCTAAGGAGAGAGGCAGAGGAGGCTGAGCGGCAGCAGAGGGAGAAACTGCAGGAGATGGAGCGGATGCAGAAAGAGGAGGCGCTGAGGAGAGAGGCAGAGGAGGCTGAGCGGCAGCAGAGGGAGAAACTGCAGGAAATGGAGCGGATGCAGAAAGAGGAGGCTCTGAGGAGAGAGGCAGAGGAGGCTGAGCGGCAGCAGAGGGAGAAACAGCAGGAGATGGAGCGGCTGCAGAAAGAGGAGGCGCTGAGGAGAGAGGCAGCGGAGGCTGAGCGGCAACAGAGGGAGAAACAGCAGGAGATGGAGCGGCTGCAGAAAGAGGAGTCGCTGAGGAGAGAGGCAGAGGAGGCTGAGCGGCAGCAGAGGGAGAAACAGCAGGAGATGGAGCGGCTGCAGAATGAGGAGGCGCTGAGGAGAGAGGCAGCGGAGGCTGAGCGGCAACAGAGGGAGAAACAGCAGGAGATGGAGCGCCAGCAGAAGACGGAGCAGCGCCGAGCAGAGAAGAGGGCCAGACTTGCATCCTACGCGGAACAGCAGCGGCAACTAGAGGCCAAGGCAAAGGCTATGGCTGAAGAGACGGAATGTTTGGCACGGGAGATGGAAGAGGAGGATTCGACCATGCAGGGGGAGGGGACCGGGGAGGGAGTCGAGGAGGACATAGCACATGGCATGGATATGGTGCTGTTGGAAGTGAGCGGGGAGGCGAATGTAGCAGATGGCCTGGCTATTGTTCCCGGGCAGAACGTAGAAGTGTCCAGGAGGCGGCCTAGGCAGGAGGACAGGGAGCCGGAGGGTCATGCAGCTAAGAGACGGCGTGCAGCTGGTATACAGGAGTTGATACCGATAACCCCAGGGGAAATTAAAGGGATGAAGATCGACAAGTGCGACAATAGGAGAAACGCCCAAGTGGACGACAAGGGTAAGACTTTGGGTGTCCGCCTGCCTTTCAGGGGAAGCGGGTTCTCTCAACGGGGCGAGGGAGCATTGCAGAAATGGACGTCGGAGCAGACTGTCGGCGGCCGGAAGCGGAACCTCGGCTCTCACAAAACGGTGTGGGAGAGGGCTTACACGGTCGCAGTCTGTTGGAAGTTCTTCTTCCCGAACATTGACATGCAGGCATACAGAATGAATCCAAACCGTATTGCCAAGTGGCGGGAAGATCTCGACTTCACCACATGGCTTCCAACAGGGGTGTGGAGCGTCCTCAACGAGCTCCACCTCGACAAACCGGACGGGTGAGTGGTCTGGTGATGGACAGTTGCAACTTCAGAACACGCGAACTTCGATGGTTCTGATCTTCCGACACTGGTGGATTGTGCAGATTCTCACTCGTTCAAACCAACACGGCTCATCGGCAGCAGCAGGGGGATGGCTTTCAAGTAGCTGCCTGCGCTGGTGTTGGAATAACTGCGTGGCAGAAAATTGTGGGAGGCGTGGAGGGTGAAAACGGCTATTCGACAGAAGAACACGCAGTCGGCCTCGCCGCCACGTTATCTGTACTGTGGGATGCCTCCACGAATGTGGACCGAACCCAGTGGCAGACGGGCGCAACATCTGCTGCGAGAGGAACTTCTACGGCCATTGCAACTTCTACTGCCAACTCGGTCCCTGCTGCCACCGCCTCATCTGCTGCTGCGTCATCTTCTGCAGCAGCCGTGACAACTGCCGCCCTCGATGCCCTTGTGACGCTTGCAGCCTCGGTTGCTTGCGTTGCAGTAGAGGCGATGAGGTCGGTCAATGATCAAGAGCATGACAAGGAAGCGTGGATTGTGCCCCTGTCGAATGCGCTGCTGAATGCGCTTCCGGCAGAGTCGCAAGCGGGCGGAGATAAGAAGCGGATGACGAGGGTCGTGGCAAAGGTGGTGACCGCTTGGTGCCTAGGCAGCATGGCATCAAGAGGGCTTCGCCAGCACCAGGGCGTCGGCCTCGGAGTCCTGCAGAAGAAATTGGGCAGCCGGGACACTACAACCGGATCGGATAAGGAGAAGAAGACCAGAAAGTCGTCCGCGAAGGGGAAGGCGGCAAAGGAGGCGTCGACGGAAGAGAACACCAGCCCCGGCGTGCAGGAGTGATAGACTGGGCTAGGGTTTTTTTGTGGAGCGTATAGGACCGCTGTATAAGTTGTTTTTTTTTTTCCATGTTTTTGAAATACCCTGTATAAACATTAGTGCTGTTGTATCCAAGACCAACATAGCGAATGTTGTGAGCCGCGTATGAATGTAGAAATGCTGGTTAAGCATCACACCATGAACGTGAGCGCGAGCCGAATATTATATTCGCCTTCTACAACACTTGTTCTGCACTTCATACTCCAAAACAACACAATCCCTAGCGACAAATGGTCTTCCACAGCTGATGGCCGAAGCGGAGCCTATGCATACGATGAAAGCCACCATCGCCATTGGTTGGCGACATGTGGTCTTCGACACAGACAGCTGGAAATCCGCAGAGGTTGAAGATCGACGACGTCATCGCCCTACTGTATAGACTACGTATGCGACATTATCACGAATGGGCTACCAGCAACGCATAAAAATTTATCATTAGGAGTACCTTGGTACGAGTCGTATACGACATCCCTATGCACTAACCATTCTTCGGTGGAGTTTGAATTCATCGACGCCTTATCGTGGCGCTAAATCGTATACTACACATTACCGCAGAAAAACTTCGTAGATAAAAAATCATCTCATTTGTATAGCGTGTGGCATAAGAACACACATCTACGATTATGAATGTGCCTAGAGAAGATGGAAAACCGCTTAGGCCGAACATCAGAGACCTCAGCGCACAATGCGGTTGAGTAAAAGACTTTTCGGCATCCAATCGCAAAAGCTAACCCTACGCATAAAATCACGTCCTGGATAGGGATCTCCATACTAGGAGTACAATATGACACTCCTATGCCCTGGAACATATGCACAAAGCGAACTCATCGACGCCGATCCGTATAGTAAAATCGTTACCGACACGAGACCGCAGACACAAATCTCCGTGCATAACATCACTGCCGATTTCGGCAACGCGTATCTACAAGTAACAGCCGAAGAGCACGATGCCACAATGTTGTATGTGAGACAACGATATGAGAAACCTAATGCGAGACAAAACCGCATAGACTTCCACAGAGTGCATTTGATATAGCAGAGACCTGGAAAACAATCTACGACAAACACCTTGTACAGAGCAGAAGTGGCATACAAGCCCTAGATGCGGCCTTCTAGATAGACACTAAAGTGCAAATCGTATTCAAGGAGCAATAGCCACAATTAAACAGCACTAGCCTAAAGCAACATCCCGCCCCATTTCTGCGCCTAGCGTTTCGACGCATCGCCCTTCGCCTTTTCCAGTTCTGCCTTCTTCGTCGCATCGGTTCGTTTTTTCTCTTCTTCCGCCTTCTCCTTAGCCAGTTGTTCCTTGTGGATCTCCTCCCAACTATCATCCCCAAACAGCGATGTTGCCCACTCCTTGTCCCTCAGGCCTTTATTGACTAGCAGCCAGCTCACTTTACATTGCGCCAAGTCGTTGACGGTCCTCTTTTCCGTCGACGAACCTTTTTTTTTGTTTCTTGTTGGGCGGAGTCTCTTGAAGCACCGCCAAGCCGTTGGTGAATTCGGTGAAGTTGCACAAGGCGAACACCTCGTCCAGCAGCTTAACGGCCGTTGCGGTCGCCGCCTCGGAGCTGTCTTTTCTTAACGTCACCACGGAGACCATGACACGATGCACGCGACGCATCTTACGCTCGCATGCACCCACAGTCATCGCGGGCTTACCTTTCGCCGCGAACCGGGAATATGCGGTGATGAAGCTGTTGTTCTTGTTTGTATCCCGGCCGAACTCTGCACAGACTTCGGCCAGTGTCTTGCCACCCATGATCTGGCTTGGCTGCACCCACAGTTTCCAGGCAGCAGCAACAGTTTCGGCTTCGCGCCAAGACACAACGACCACGTAGAAGAAATCTTCCACCGCAACTGGTGCTTTGGATGCGTCCGCTGCCTGGCGTGCACCCCTTTCTGCACTCTTCGACAATCCATCGACCTCAGCAGAGGCGTTTGCAGCGTCAGCCCTGGCCGCAACAGACCTCTTGAAAGCTTCGAACTCGGCCATGAGCCGAGCTTTATCCGCTCGCTCAGCATCGAGTTCCTCCCTCAGCTTCGCATTCTCCATCGCCAACTGCATTGCACATCCTCTCAATATCCCAAGATCCTCCCTGAGCATATTGGCGGTGAGATACTGTCAAACATTGCATGTTTATATTGTCTAGGCTGTAGTGGGTTACACCTTAGGGGGTACACAAAGTTAGGGTTTCCTACTTGTACCAAACTCTGTTCTAGTTCATTCATTCCTGCTCAGTTATTTCTGACATGGTTTCAGAGCAGGTCCTTCGCTAGGACTGTTCTTAGGGCCCACCGACTTACCTACCTGCTTACCTTCGCTTCTTTTCGGCCCCGATGGCCCCGTCGATCTAGCACGATCTAGCGGCCCTGCGGCCCCTTCGAATTTTTTTTAGCGGCCTCTCACGGCCCCCGTCGCGTCGCCCCTTAGCGCCCCGATCGGCCCCGTCACGCCGCCCGCGAACCGCACAGCGCGCCGCGCTCACAGCCCGCGAACCGCCCACGCACAGCCCGCGAACCGCCTGCGCAGCCCGCGACCAGCCCGCGCAGCCCGCGCACAGCCCGCGAACTGCCCGCGAGCAGCCCGCGACCTGCCCGCGAACCCCCGCGAGCCGCCCGCGACCCGCTTACGCAGCCCGCGAGCAGCCCGCGCAGCCCGCGCTGAGCCTGCGCGGCTCGTGCGCTGACCGCCGCCGGCCCGCACGCTGCCCGCACTGCTCCCGGCCCGCCGCTGCCGAGCCCGCAGCCGCCCGCGCACCGCCTCTGCTGAGCCCGCAGCCGCCCGCGCACCGCCGCTGCTGCGCCCGCTGCCGCCCGCGCACCACCGCTGCTGAGCCCGCAGCCGCCCGCGCACCGCCTCTGCTGAGCCCGCCGCCGCCCGCGCACCGCCGCTGCTGCGCCCGCTGCCGCCCGCGCACCACCGCTGCTGAGCCCGCCGCCGCCCGCGCACCGCCGCTGCTGCGCCCGCCGTCGCCCGCGAATCACCGCTGCTGAGCCCGCCCCTACTACGCCGGCTCTCGCTGCCGCCTGCTGCGCCTGTGCACCACTGCATTCCTACTACTACACTTTCTGCTACTACTGCTTGTGCGCCACTACAGTCCGTAGGCCCCACCGGCCCCGCTGACCCTGCGCACGCCTTTTCAGTGACTTTACTGCTTCTACTACTGCCGCTGTCGCTATGGCTAGTCCTCCTGTTCTAGCTTTCGACGCCGAGGGCCGTCCGGTCAAATTCGAAACCTGGCTAGATGACCTGCACCTTTTCCTACAGCTCACTGCCAAGGAAGATATTACACTGTACGACCACGCTCTCGGCCATGCGACCGCCCCACTCGCTACTGCCCCCCCAGCTGAGCGCTCACAGTGGCAGACCCGTGACGCGCACGCTCGCTTTGCTATTCGCAACTCCCTGCCGCTAGATGAGCGCGAGCACTTCGGCCAGTGCAAGACTGCTAAGGACCTCTACACAGCTGTAGTGGCCCGCTACTCCTCACCCGCTTCTGCCACACTAGGCCGCCTCACTCTCCCCTACCTGTTCCCCGACCTAGCCTCCTTTCACACTGTCGCAGACCTCATCACCCACCTTAAGACTAGTGAGGCTCGCTTTCGCGCTGCCATGCCTGATGAGTTCCTCGCTAGCAACCCCCCCCCGCTCTGGATCACTCTCTACCACGTTGTCACCCGCCTCCCTGACTCTCTGCGCCCTGTCAGGGACCAGTTCCTCTCTCGCTCCCCCACTGAGCTCACCATAGCCCTCCTCGAGAAGGAACTGCTTGCAGCCGAGGCTAGTATCGTCGCTGTAGGCACCTCTCGTGGCGACCCCCGCGGCCCCTTCTTCGAGGGGTGCTCCCCTTCCCCCCTCCTCCCCTCTGTCGCCTCTGCTGCTGCTGTCGACCTCCTTGGTGCTGAGAAGGTCGGGGCTGCGTCTGCTTCAGGCGGACGACGCAGGGGCAGGAGTGGCAGGAGTGGGGGTGGTGGCGGAGGAGGCGGGGGTGGAGGTGGTGGCGGTGGAGGTGCGACTGGAGAGACTAGTGGCGGCAGTGGTGGAGGTGACAGCGGTGTTGGGAGTGGTGACAGGGGCGGAGGTGGCAGCGGAGGCGGAGGTGGTCGTGGCAGCGGCAGGGGTGGAGGTGGCCGGGGCGGAGGCGGAGGGGGTGGTGGTCGTGGAGGCCCGGGGGGCGGTCAGAGTCAGCAGCCTTCCCCGACCCTTCAGGCCGCCCGTGAGTGGTATGCGCGGCGCAGCGTCACCTGCCAGTACGTTATTCGTACAGGTGACCGCACTGGCCAGATGTGTGGGGGGCCGCACCAGACGGAGCGCTGCTTCGCCCGCCTCAACGATGCGTGGCGCACCCAGTTTCCTGGTGGGGGTGAGCTGCCGCGCTGGGCTGATCTGCTCAGGAAGGGTGTTGATATTTGGGCACTTGACTTTGATGCTATTCTCACTGCCATGTATGCGATGTCTATTAGTGGAGAGGGTGCTCAGTACTTGCGTGTTCCGCCCGACCCGGGCATTCAGGCCAGCCCCGCTGCTGCTCTAGGTGCTAGTGTGTCTGCTTCCACAGGTACTACTGCAGCTGCTGCTCTAGGTGCTTCTGCGTCTGTGCCCCCTGGTACTGAGTCGACTGCAGCACTGCACACCTTCACACTGGACTCAGGTGCTTCTCGCTCTTTCTTTCGTGACCGCACTGTCCTTGAGCCTCTAGCTCGGCCGGTTGCTGTCTCTCTTGCTGACCCCTCTGGGGGTCCGGTCCTTGCGACCTCCTCCACCACCCTTCCGTGTCCAGCGGTTCCGTCCGGCACACTCTCAGGTCTCTACCTCCCCTCGTTCTCCACGAACTTGGTGGCAGGTAGTGCGCTCCAGGACTCGGGTGTTCACCAGTTCACCCCTGCCTACGAGCGTGTGACTCACTGCACGTGTGCTCGGACGGGCCGCCACCTGGCTACTTTCACTCGAGAGCCGGGGTCTGACCTGTACACACTGACCACTGAGTCCCCTCAGGTAGCTGCGTCTGCGTCAGCGTCAGGTCAGCTGTCCGCCCCCTGCTCGTGTCGCTCTCTGGCGAACGACACCGTCCTCTGGCACCACCGCCTTGGTCACCCGTCTGTGCAGCGCCTGCGGGCCATGCACAAACGGGACCTTGTTGCTGGTCTTCCCAGGGTGCTCCCTCCCCTTCCTGACTCCCCTGCTCCTGACTGCATTCCCTGTGTCGAGGGGCGGCAGCGCGCCGCTCCTCACTCCTCCTCCTTTCCCCCGACGACCGCTCCCCTGCAGACGCTCCACATGGACGTGTGGGGCCCAGCCCGCGTCCGTGGTCAGGGTCAGGAGAGGTACTTCCTGATAGTTGTTGACGACTACTCGCGCTACACCACGGTCTTCCCCTTGCGCGCCAAGGGTGACGTCCCTGGTGTTTTGATCCCCTGGATCAGCCGAGCCCGTCTCCAGCTAGGCGAGCGCTTTCACTCGGACTTTCCTGTCCTGCGCTTGCACTCTGACAGGGGTGGTGAGTTCGCCTCCGACCTCTTGGCAGCCTACTGTGCTGAGCACGGCATTGAGCAGTCGTACACGCTTCCGGCCTCTCCACAGCAGAATGGGGTTGCTGAGCGCCGCATTGGCTTAGTCATGGAGGTCGCTCGTACCTCCCTGACCCATGCGGCTGCTCCCCACTTTCTGTGGCCGTTTGCGGTCCGGTACGCAGCACATCAGCTCAACCTCTGGCCCCGTGTCTCCTTGCCGGAGACTTCCCCGACTCTACGGTGGACGGGAGAGGTTGGCGATGCGTCGCGTTTCCGGGTCTGGGGATCTCGAGCCTTTGTCCGCGACACGTCTGCGGACAAGCTCTCACGTCGCACTGTTCCCTGTGTCTTTCTTGGCTTTGTTCCCGACGCGCCTGGATGGCAGTTTTACCACGTCACCTCGCGCCGGGTTCTGGCCTCTCAGGACGTCACTTTTGACGAGTCCGTCCCCTTCTACCGCCTCTTCCCCTACCGCACTGCCCCACTCCCCCCCCCGCCTCTCTTCCTCGCTCCAGGTGCTGAGGTACCAGACCCCCTCCCCCCTCAGGGTGCCGCTCCCTCAGGTGTGTCCCAGGTAGACCCGGGTGAGCCTGTTGAGGTAGCTGTTGACTCTCGTCCTGCGTCTGGGGGTGCTGAGCCTGGAGGTGCGGAGCCTGGGGGTGCTGAGCCTGGAGGCGCGGAGCCTGGGGGTGCTGAGCCTGGAGGTGCGGAGCCTGGGGGTGCTGAGCCTGGAGGTGCGGAGTCTGGGGGTGCTGAGTCTGGACGTGCTGAGTCTGGGGGTGCTGAGTCTGGGGGTGCTGAGTCTGGGGGTGCTGAGTCTGGGGGTACTCCACCTGGAGGAGCCCTCTCCTCCCAGCAGCTGCAGGAGAGGTACCTCGAGTACTGCCGCCTCCGGAGAGGTGCTTCTGGAGCTCGTCCCGGTACTTCCCCTCCTACCCAGGAGCTCCCCCCCATTCAGGTGATCCGCGAGTGGTACACGCGGCGCTGCAGTCTTCGTAGTGGTGCTCCTGGTGCTGCGGACCCGAGCGGTGGTGCTGTTGCTGGTGCTGAGGACCCGGACGCTGGAGCTACTGCTGGTGCTGAGGACCCGGGCGTTGGAGCTGCTGCTGGTGTTGAGGACCCGACCGGTGGCGCTGCTGCTGGTGCTGAGGACCTGACCAGTGGCCCTGCTGCTGGTGCTGAGGACCCGGGCGTTGGAGCTGCTGCTGGTGCTGAGGACCCGACCGGTGGTGCTGCTGCTGGTGCTGAGGACTCGGGTGTTGGAGCTCCTGCTGGTGCTGAGGACCCGGGCGTTGGAGCTGCTGCTGGTGCTGAGGACTCGGGCGTTGGGACTGCCACTGGTGTCCCTGCTGTTTCTGGAGACGCTGCGCGGCCGCGACCGTACTTCGTACCGCTCCTTCAGCAGGTTCTTGGTCAGGCTCCTCCTCTTAGTCCTCCTCCCTCCGTAGCGTGTCCTCCGCCTGTCCAGCCGCAGTCACAGTTACCGCCTGTCTCGCCTCTCCCTGCTCCCTCCCCTTACACTGGTCCCACAGGAGGTCTTACAGAGCGTCGTGAGCCTGAGTCTCGTCCTGCGTCGCCTGTTCGTACTGCTCG